AAAACATTGAAGGAACATAAAGGATCGGATGTTCTATATTGACATTGATTCGGTCTTAATCTGTTCTCGGGTGCTATAACAGAATCCCTGAGGCTGAGTAATTTATGAAGAGAAGAAGTTTATGTCTTAGAGTTGTAGAGGCTGGGGAAGTTCAAGGGAAAGGGCACATCTGGTGAGGGACTTGGTGCTGTTGGAGACTCTCTGCAGCGGTGGTGCTGGATCTCACATGGCCAGATGAAAGCAGCTGCCAGAGAAAGCTCCTTCGGTAAGCAAGCCACTCCCTCCGGAACCCATTACCCCCTGAGTGGATTAAACCACTAACCAGGACAAGAACCCTACGACCCAGTCATCTCTCAAAGGCCTCACCTGCAAATGCCATTATTATATGGCTTTGGGGATTACCTTTTCAACTCGTGCCTTCCAGGGAACACACCCACACCCACACCCACAGGCTTTCGGGGCAGGGATCTGCATTCATCAGCTCAACTCAGGGCCTTAGAAAGGGCTCTTGCTGTTTGGTGGACTGGTTGGCTGAACCACGACCCAAAAGAGGCCCACCGTGATCACCCTTGACTGAGTATGATAGTGCATGGCTATGATCCTACCTAGCAGGAGGACCACAAGTTCAAGGTCAGCTTCAGTAACTTACAAGACCCTCTCTTAAAGAAAAATAGGGTTGTGCCTATAGTTCGATGGTAGAGTATCCCTGGGTTCAATCCTAGTACCCCCCCAAATTTATATATATATCTATACACTTATGTAACGTATCTAAACTTATGTGCTATGTATCTTAAATACCAGCTCCAGCCCGTGACCAGTTGGAAACAGACACGGCCACTGTTGTGAGCGCCCCTTCCCAGGGCTCTGAGTGCCTGTCCCTGCGGGCCCTTGTTTTCTCCCCTCCTGTTCTCCCGTGGTGCCACCTGTTCTGATCCTAGTCTCAGGGTTGAGGCTAAGCAACGTGGAGGGAAAAGGGAGGTCACTCCAGCCTCACATCCTCTTCTGGAAGGGGCAGGGTGTCCGCCTCCGGCGGGACGGTGGTGGTTAGGCACTTAGTGGGGCTGCACCTTCACCTTCCTAGGAGCTGAGGGGAGGTTAGGAGGCCTGTGCCTGGCGGACCCGGGTGGATTTTTGGTGGTTGATTTCATGCGTGGACTTGGCGGGTGCAGCGGGCCAGGTCAAGCCTGCTGTGTGTCCGTGAGGTCCTTCCAGAGGAGACCGCTCCCCTCCGTGGCACAGAGCGCCCTCTCCAGTACCAGCCTCCGTGGGTCCACTGAGGCCTGGAGCGGAGGCGGAGGAGGCAGGACGGAGCTTTTCCCTCCTGGGCCTGAGCTTGCTGGGCAGATCCTACGACTCCCGGGCCCTAACCAGGAGCCAACTATGAATCACCAAGAGTCCTTCCACGTGGGAGGCTGTATGATGCGGGGACACGTGCATCTCCTGTCGGGTCTCTCCCCAGGGAACCCTACCTAATACGGGCCCTTATTATGCTTGAATTTGGGACCCCCAAAAGACCACCCAAGACCGAGATCAGTGTCAGCCGCAAAGAGGCATTTATTGCCAGCTAGCACAGCAACTGGTGACCCTGAGAGGCCAGAGCCCAGGGTTTGCAGCAGTTTTATACACTTTTTGGGGAAGGCAGGGACTTTACATACATCATAGCATCTCTTAGCAAATCATCACACATGTGGGAAAAATCATAAAACAACTCTAAAACATGATCAGCACATTCACTGGTGGGAACAAGTTGGGTAAAGGTGGTTGGCTAGTACAAGAGGGGGATTCGTTTGATTGGTTTAGGCCATGAGGGGTGTAAGTGCTGAACAACCTGGTTTCCCAACACATTATCAACCACCATAAACTACTGGGAGGGTCATCTGGCATCCCAGGTATTTTCCCTGTCTCATGCTGATTGGTGGCTGCTAGGGGGCTGCTATGGGTCCTCACCTAGCCTGACTGAGTCAGGGACACCTGACTCCACAGATCTCTCCTGTTATTTATAGATAAACAACTCAGAGGGTGGGTATATGCCTAGGAGTGCTCTGGGGGTCTTTCCAAGGGCAAGGGTCACAACCGCCCGCTTCCTTGGACAGGCTTTGCTCTGAGGTAGAGGCTGGCTTTTCACCCTGTTTCCGAGTGAGGTGGATTCACAGGTGTGGAGGTTAGGACTTGGATGTACCCCTTTAGGAGACACTTGCAGCTTACTAGAAGCAGGCCATCTGGGTTCACTGGCAAGGCTGGATTGCAAAGGGCTCACAGCGCGGGGTGGGCCAATGGATGGATCTTGATTTTTTTTTTTTTTGATTTTTTTTTTTTGGTACTGGGGATTGAACTCAGGGGCACTAGACCACTGAGCTACATCCCCAGCCCTGTTTTGTATTTTACTTAGAGACAGGGGTTCATTGAGTTGCTTAGGGCCTCACTAAGTTGCTGAGGCTGGCTTTGAACTCTCAATCCTCCGGCCTCTGCTGGGATTACAGGCGTGCACCACGGGGCCTGGCCTACGGATCCGGATTTGAATACTCCACTTGCGATCACTGTATGACATGTGCTCCCCACTCTGCCCCCAGCCTCTGGAATCCTCTTTGAAGACTGAATGAATAGTGCTGGGAGTTCTTCCTCCAGAGGACTGTCATACAGCAAGAACCCCCAGTGCTTACTAAGTACGGAGCTGCGTAAGGTACACAAGGACTCTACAGCTGTTTTCTCATCTGCAAAATGGAAATAATAACACCGACCTCAGTCCACACAATGATTTCCAGGACATAGTAGGCATTATGTAAGCACTATTTAAAAAGGATTGCCCGGCATGGTGGCGCTATCTATAATCCCAGCAAGGGTCTCCATAAATTGCCCAGGCCTTGAACTTGTGATCCTCCTGCCTCAGCCTCCCAAATTGCTGGGATTATGGGAATGTAACATCACACTTTGTGGGATCCCATGTGACTGTCCCTGTTCTGAAATTCTCCATAACTTTTGCACAAAGGGCATTGCATTTCGTTTTTTTTCCTGTGGCCAGAACTGCTTGGAGTCACTACTCTTCCTGCTTATAGCAGCAAGGGATGCTGGTCCCCCTCTGGTCCTAAATGGGTCGGTGGCACATGGGGTATGTATGCCCCAGTAGAAGGGCTTTTTATGAACTGAGATGATCCAGTTGTGGGGCCGGAAAATGAGATCCCAGCGGATGGGGTGGTGGCTGTGTGTCCTGCCAGATGAGATGAGGGTGGGCCCAGTGGTGTCCTCCAGTTCTGAAGGGCAGTGGGGGTGGGGGAGAGGGTGTGTTCTTGGCCCTCAAAAGTAGATCCAGCTCTGCATAGGAAGGAATTGTGAACGACTAAACTGTTGTGCAAGAAGGGAACGGCCGGCCGGCTGGAATTCCAACCTCAGCCCGCCTGGGGGTAAGGGTGGGGGCTCCTGCTTGGGACAGCCTAGCTTTGAGAACTAACACTAGGTTATCTGCCCTGGGAGATGAGGTGTGGTTTAGGAGGTGTGTGGTTTAGGAGCCCTGGGTCTCCTCCACCTGTGAAATGGCCTGAGGATACCCTGCAGGGCTGGGCGAGGACCGGGTCCCCGGCTGGGTGGAACTCAGCCCCTCTTAGGGCACTGGCTCACAGGACAGATGGTGGTGGCTATGGCTGCTCCTGCTATAACTGACAGGGAGCTTCCGGTGCCCAGCAAGGCTGAGGCTGAGCTGGACCATCCGTGAGTTACATAGAAGACCCTTGTGTTACTGGGCACAGCGGTGCCCGCCTGTAATCCCAGCGGCTCTGGAGGCCAAGGCCGGAGGATTGTGAGTTCAAAGCCAGCCTCAGCAACTGTCTCTAAATAAAATATAAAAAACAGGCTAGGGATGTGGCTCAGTGGTTATGTGCCCCTGGGGCTAGTCCCTGGTACAAAAAAATAAAAAGACCCTTGAGTCAGAAGTCGAGGAAGCTCACATCTCGCCCCCTAAACATGTCAACATCTGGCATATTTGGGGGATTAGTAAGAAACAGTCATAAAATACAGTCTCGTGACAGAGTCCCCGTGGGGGAGGGGTGGTGCCTTTGGAGCCTGCTGGGGAAGCAGGAGGGGCTCCCGGCCTTCCGAGTGTCTGAAAACCCTGGCCAGCTGTCCCAGCGGCCTGGCCAGCCCAACGTGAGGAATGCGAGGCTCCCCGCAGGGCTTCCCAGGAAATGGGTCCCTGATGTGTCCAAGAGCCGCACATAGGAATGGCCCATCTGCGCCAGGGCCCCTGGGGAACGGCATCCGAGGGCGGTGCACGTGTGAGCCTCCACTGCGTGTGCCCCTTGATGCTTGAGCTGCTCGCCTAAAGCCACTCTCAGGGTGACAGCAGCAGCCCTGGAAATGTCTTGGCCGCAGTTTGTGCTGAGACGACATTTCTCCACCCTGCTCCCATTCACCTCTGCAGTCAGCGGGGTCCTGCGGGGTGCGGGGGAGCTGTGGCCTCCGCTCTAGGCATCAGCAGTGACAGGAGCAGAGACCTGGAGGCCAGGAGCAGCAGAAGGCCTCCATCAAGGGCCGCTGTGGTCAGAGCCTGGCGCAGACACAAGTGTGTTTGTATCTCCTGAAACAGGAGAGGAGGACAGTCAGCTAGGAACTGAGCAGCACTTCACCCACGCATTCAAGTGGCCGGCCTTCCGTAAATATTGACTGAGTGCGGCTGTGCGCACACACCACGCCAGGCGCCGCCAGTACAGCCACGCACAGGACAGAGGCCCGGCTCTTCTCTTTTTGGGGGATGGGGGACAGGTACTGGGGATTGAACGTGGAGGCTCTTTACCACTGAGCCGCATTCCCAGTCCCTTTTAGTTTTCATTTTGAGACAGGGTCTCACTAAATGCTGAGAATCTCACTAAATTGCTGAGGCTGGCCTCAAACTTGTGATCCTCCTGCCTCAGCCTCCTGAGTCGCTGGGATTACAGGTGTGTGTCACTGTACCCAGTTCTCTTTTCTCCGTAACATAGAACTAACCACTTGAAAGTTACCATTTGGAGACTGTCAGTGTAGCTCAATGGTAGAGCGCTTGCCTAACATGTGCAAGGCCCTGGGTTCAATCCCCAGCACTGCAACATTAGCAATAGCACAGCTCAGTGTTATTAGTGCAGCCCCACCAGTGTGCACTCGGCACCACTGTCCATTTCCAGAACTTGCCATCCTCCCAGAAGAAACCCCGGCAAGGCACCCCCACCCACCTGCCCCCACCCACCCCTGACTGTGGATCTTCCGCTCTGGACAGTTCATATAAATGGAATCCTATATTACGTGGCCTCCTGTCTGTCTTCCTTCCCTTGGCACCTTGTTCTCGGGGTTCATCTGTGTAGAGGCAGGATCGGGAAGTCCTTCCTCCTGGTGGCTACTGTCTGTAGGTGGGGTGTCACCTTGGGAGTAGGTGCCAGGGACCGGGTGGTTCACTGATGGGCAGCTTCCTGCTCTAACCACTTGTGCCCGTCAACGGGCGTCCGCCTCTGATGCTGCCCGGCTGGGTGTTCGCGCTGTCACAGGGCACCTCAGCTTTCATATCTAACTGAAGGATTACAAGGGCAGGTGTTCTGGGGCCAGGCCCCCGTTATCCGGCTCCCATGCCAGCCTGACCGTCACCCTGCCCCACTCGAGACACACGGGCCTCTTCCTGCCCTCTCCCCAGCAGAGGTGCAGCCAGGCCCCCCCCTGGCAGGCATTCCAGGAAGTAGGCAGGGCCAATCTCCTAGAAGAAAAGTAGAAGTGTCTCTTATCTCAGTCTAGATTCTTTTGGTTCTGAGGGACAGAAATCCAAACCAAATCAGCTTCTTCAGCTGTGGCCACCGGTCAGCTTGGTCCTAGTCCTTGCTGGTTCATCAGTGAACCAGGTCCCTGCCCTAAACAGCTGGTGGGCAGGGAGGGTCCAGAGAATTCAAGCCTTGGCCTGGGAGCTGAGAGCTATGGAAATCCAGCAAATCAGGGGCACGAAAGGCCCCAGGGCCTCCTCAGAACTGATCAGGTGACCAGAGCCCCTGGACAAGGTCAGGTTGAAGGGAAGACTTGAAGGAGATCAGGGGTCGGCCCAGAGGGTCCCTGGGGAAGAGAAGGCCAGGCACAGGGACCAGCCAGAGGCAAGGCCCAGAGGCAGGACTGTGGCCTTCTTGAGAGGACAGTGTGGCTGGGAGACAGTGGAGGCGGCCTGCAGAGAGAAAACGGAGACCAGATGGGATGGGCCCGGGGCCAGGGCCAGACTTGGACTGGGACTGCCCGAGCTGGAGCCATGGCAAAGTGTGGGGGAAAATAGGATGTAATTTGACTGATTTTACTTATTTATTTATTTTTAAGCAAAAAAGGAAAGTCCTAGACTTCTGGGCCTGGGTGAGTCAGAGGCCGGGGCCTCCTCTTCTCCTGGACACAGGTTCCCTTCAGACCAAAGCCATTCACAGCCCGCTTCAGAGCCCAGGGCCTCTCTACCCATGTCGACATAGAAACCTCCAGGCAGGGTCTCCACTGGCCCTTCTTGGACCAGCCACTGTGGCCAGACACTGATGGAGGGGCTTGGGTCCCATGGCCACCGGCTAATGGAGGCCCTTCTGAGGGGTCACTGTTTGGAAACCCACCAGAGTGTCCCCAGTTCCTTGAAGAGGCTACCTTCTTGCAGAAGAAGGGAAGAGAGAGGGGGGCCGACCCACGGAGCACCGGCCTTTCCCTGAATTCTTCATCTTGAGGGAGTCCAGGGCCTCTCCTGGCGGGCCTCCACCCAGGAGGGCTGAGCAGCCTGGGGCAGCAACCCTCTGAGCTGTTGGCAGGGTCTCCTCTGTGGCCACGAGTTGGGGCAGGGTCCACTCCAGCACAGGTCACACTTGAAAGGTCACTTTGGCCCCTGTCGGTTTCTCTTTCTCATCACTGGGCACGGAAAGCCCAGCAGCAGTCGGAGATCAGGAGCCGGTGGCCGAGGTGGGGCCGCTTCCTCCTCTGATGTCCCCAGGCCCAGCCTCAGCCCTCGTGGAGAGGGGCTTTCTGATCCTCAGGAAATGCCCCCCAGGGAGCTGGGATGGGCCATGGGGCCACGGCCGCTTCCACACAAGGACCCTTCTTTGCCTAGGGTTGCAGGATCGTGACGGGGAGAACTTCCCGTGGGTTTAGAAGAAAATGCGGCCCGGCGCCAAGCTGAAAACACGGCGGGGGGAATTTTATGTCCGTGTCCCCCTGCGTCACCAGCATCTGAAGTGCTTCCAGAAGCTTCTCTCACCCTCATTTCCCTGCCTCCGTCTCCCAGCTTGGCAGGGGACACCCACCCCCTAAAAGCAAAGAAAGCGAAACTGAGAGAAGCAACCTCTCCGTCACCGCCGTCACCACCGCCTCCCAAAACACGGGTAGCTGCTTCCATTGACTGAAATTCCTGGCCAGAGATCAGAGGAGGGTTATCCTCCCTGCCAGGCCCTTGCTTGCCAGTTCATTCAGCAGAGGACAGGAAGCATGTCTACCCCAGAGTCACATACCGCAGTCAGGAGAATTTCCCTGAAAAACCCCTCTCGCTCTGGGCTCAAGGTAACCTCACAATTGAGCTCTTTCTTCTTTATTTATTTTCCTTTTGTGTGATGCTGAGGATGGAACCCAGGGCCTGTGTGTACTCTACCCTTGAGCTGCACCCTGCCCCTAAAACTGAGCCATTTTTTTTTTTTTTTGGTTCTGGGGATTGAACCCAGTTGTACCACTGAGCCACATCCCCAGCCCTTTTTATTTTTTATTTAGAGACAGGGTCTCACTGAGTTGCTTAGGGCCTCACTAAGTTGCTGAGGCTGGCTTTGAACTTGTGATCCTCCTGCCTCAGCCCCTTGGACCAGTGGGGTTACGGTGTGCACCACCGCGCCTGGATGCCAGAGCTTTTTATTGTTTGAGACAGGGTCTTGCTGAGGTTCGCCTCAAATGTGCCATCCTCCTGCCTCAGCCTCCACAGCTGCTGGGAATGCAGGTGTGTGACTCTGTGCCCCACCAAATAAGCTTTCAGATGAGGAGACGGCCACCCTCAGCAGGGCCCCCCCGCTGGGCCCAAGAAAGGCAGGCACCCTCTGTGCTCAGAAGAAAACAGTGACAAGGAACGCTCACAGGACCCCTGTGACATGCAGCCAGGAATGAGCTGTGTGTCAGGACATCCCCTGCTTGCCTTGTCCTGTCCCTGAGGGTGACCTCCCATTTATCTAGTGGGGTGGGACAGCCTGGCCTGGCAATTCATGTTTTGGGCTTTCAGTTTATCAAGTGCATCTTTTGTCCAGATAAAGAAATCCTTGGCACCTGGTGAGCAGGCGAGGAGCACCCCACCCCCAGCCGCAGGCTGGGGCTTTCCAACAGTCCTCCTCCTGACAAGCTGGCTGGACAGGGACTAGTATCCCTAGTTTAAGGAGGAGGAAATGGAGGCTCAGAGGCTCAGAATGAAGCAGGATCTACTGTGTGCCTGGTACTTACTAATGAGGCTGGGTAGACGATTCCTTTGAATTTCCAAAATGTTTGTGGGAAATAACTGACGTTCACCTGCGTTTTACAACCCAGAGAACCAGATCAGAGAGGGAATCTGCTCACCCGAGACCACACAGCTGCGGCAAAGGGCTGGCTCTGGGATCTAGTGCCAGCTGAGCTTGGCTCAGGCCGGCCATTCCCTTGCTCTCTGCTGCTTTAGGGCCCAGGGCAGACTGGTCCTGCTGTCCATCTGGCCAGTGCTGTCCTCAAGGACTGGCTTGGGAGGGAGAGTGGAGCAGCATGAGAGACTGATTTTTCTCCTTCCTTCTTCCCTGGGCACCTCCTAAAGTGTCAGCAAAGTGACATGAGCGGGAACCTGGAGAAGGCCATGGCCAAGGCCTCAGGGAAGGAGCGGGACCAGCAGGTGAGGGACTCAGAGAATCCTAGTCACTGACTGTCCATGCTTTCTAATGAGGAGCTGAAGGCTTTTCAGGAAAGAGTCTCCTAGAAAACTAGGTTCTGACAAAGACAGGTGTGACATGCGGCTCCCATGGCTGCCATACAAGTCACCAGGCTGAAAACTATACCAAGTATTGTCCTGAATTCTGGGGGTCAGAAATAAGTCTCACAGGGCTAAGATCAAGGCATTGGCAAGGCCATGTCCCTTCTAGGGGCTCCAGGGAGGAGCAATCTGTGTCCTCACCTTTGCAGATTCTAAGCCAGGTGTGGTGATGTATGCCTGTGGTCTCAGCGACTCAGGAGGCTGAGGCAGGAGGATCACATATTGGAGGCCGGTGTTGAGAGCCACAGTTTAGTCGGAATGAATGCCTGGCATTTTGCTAGAGGGAATGGTTGAAAGGTGACCCTGCTCTGGGATTAGGGCGGTTCTGGGATTAGGGCGGATCCTCTGGAATAGGGTGGCTCCGGGATTAGGGCGGATCCTGCTGGGTTTAGGGCGGATCTTGCTGCCTTGGGCGCCTGCTACTTTGGAGTTCCCATTGACTTCTCAAGGGGTTCCCAAGGGGTTCCCAAGGGGTTCCGGGAGAATTGGCATGCGGAGCCCGGTGGAGGGAGTGTGTTCCCGGAAAGCGTGTGTGTAGAGTTCAGAAATAAAGAGTTGCTGTTTGAACCTACAGACTGTGTGGTGGCTCCGTCATTTGTGCCCAGCCAGACTGCGGCAGGCCAGCCTCAGCAACTTAGTGAGACCTTGTCTCAAAATAAAAAATAAAAAAGGTTGAGGATGTGGCTGAGTTGTAGAGCATCCCTGGGTTCAAATCCCCAGTTCTAAATAAATCAACAAATGAGTAGAACCTTTCCACCTTCCACAGGAAGATGGCTCTGGGGCCCTCCTTCAGCTTGGAAGCCAGCAGCTCAGGCCTCCCCAGAGCCCATCTGCCCTTTCCCCTCCTCTGTCCATCCCACTTTGCTTCTGACAATTCTAACACCCCCCCCAGAAGGGCCTGGGGTGGCACTGAACGCATCCAGACAGCCCTAGAGTCTTGAGATCCTTATGGAGTCCCATCTACAGAGTCCCTTCTGCCACGCCAGGTGACATATTTGCCAGTTTGGGGTATGGGAATGTGGACGGGGTGTTTATGGAAGGACTTTTCCCCGCAGTCACGTCCGTGTTTGGGGGCTGTGGTTCCAGCGTTGGGG